TAAACTTTGGTTGGTCTAAGTAACAAGTTTAAGTCCTCCCACACCCAAAGGGGCCTTCTCTCTTCACTCTGTTACCATTAAATTGAATATCACTACACCAATTCACAAATTGACAATGGCTGCCAATGAGGGTCGGTAGAGCTACATCCTGTAATCAGAAACAGGAGGAAATAATGACGTAAAAAATGGGGACAGAATTAATGACAGCGTCAAGTCTTACAGTTTTGGGCCACAAACTTCTTGGGCTGATATTAATTAAGGCTCGTATCATATCCTGGTTTAAGGGGTGACAGTTGCCGATTGCGTGGAAATTTGATCATCGTAAGAAGTCTCCTCTTATGTTCCCCAAATTTTGTCTCCTTGGATTTCTGCTGTGCTGACGCAGACAAGTACGGATGTGTAATTTAACAGGAGTGAGAGAATAGAGAATTGACAGATTAACGGTAAGGATGGATTTAGATATTATTTATTCAAATAATAATAATAATTAATTTTTTAATCTGCAATCTAGATAATTAAAAAAATATTTCGATCAAATTTAATACGATTTTATTTAGAAGATTATGAAGTACTGTTATTAGTAAAATTATGTTATTGTCCAAAACTTTGAGTTTAGTGAAATAATTTTTTTATATTTTAAAATATTTTTTATAACTTATTTATCTAAAAATTTATTAAAAATTACTATTCATTTTACATTAGCATAAACTAAAATATTAAAATTAAAAAAATGATCTTATATAATAAATTATTAAATTTAATAATTAATAATTTATCAAATTTCTATTAGTTGATCGAAATTAAGTATAAATATCTACAAACCAATTAAAGTTAGAAATAAAAATCAAATAGCCAAACAATATACATACAAAAATCAAAATATTATTGGACATGTAATGCTATTTTTCATTAAAAAGATTCTGTTCAAGTGTCATATTATTAAATTAATCAAAAAATACTTAAACATGAAATATTTAACAATTAAATTCAAATTAAAAATTATTTACAATTAAATAATTAAAACTTAAATAAATTATTTTGAAAAAATAAAAAAGAAGAAGACTACAAGTCTCAAAAGTCAGATTTAAAGTTTTTTAAAAATAATCTAAATTTTAAATTATAATTTTTGATTTTTAATATTTAAATATTAATATAAAAATTATTTTTTAATAAATTTACGTTTGCCTCGTACTATAAACCTTTAGCAATTAACGTGTCATGTGATATCACTTGCGTAATGCTGGCAACTAGCCCTACTAACATTTAACGGGCAAACGGAGACATTATTGAGCTGCTGGGATGACACCCCACAACCATTGAAGTATCATGCACCCGTAGCCCAGAGGGTTGAAGGACTGCTTCCCAACCGGAAAGTCGTACCCCTATTGGCATAATTTTTAAACTTTTTGCTAAAGGCAGCCGCAAAATGCCAAAGACCTGCCATTTTCGCTTTTTGCTAAAGGCAATCGCAAGACCTTCCATTTCCAATCACGATACGAGACTCATACAGCTACTTGGCACCCAAGCCGAAGCCATTACACAAACAAAACCAAACATATCAAGCTTCAAGATCAGAGCATGCAAATACTAACCTAAATGAGTACTCGAGGACTTCGGTATTTCTGCAAAGTCCAACCTTTCTATGAAAATTTTTATACTCACCCAAACCACTCTACATCCTTCAAAGTAAGGGCACTTCTGTTTTATGTATCCTCATTACACAAGCAATGGGATATGAGCAAAGCCACCTTCAGGAAATAGTAAGAAAATCTAGGGACTCTCACTTAGAAAAAAAAAAAAAACAAAAGAATGGAGGCAACAGTGCCATGCAACATTGCCAATTCATGTCGCCAACACTGGAACTCTCTTGTGCCCGATAAATGCTTGCCGAAGCATATGATATCCATTTCTGTAATGCTCAAGGGAGAAGCAAAGTTGCCTTATAACTTCACGTTTCTCCTCTGCTCCTTCCAATAGTGCAATTCTTTGCTTCTCAGTCTCATCCTTGAGTTCCTTAGCTCTTGCTCGCAATTCCTCCACTAGTTTATGTGCTCTTTGAGCGCTAGCGATTAGCTCCACGTGTTCCATATGTAATTGGCGTAGATGCTTGTCCATTTGATCAATCTGACCATCCCTCGAACGAACCTCTGTTCTGAGTGAATCAACTTGGGCCTTATGCTCGTCTATCTCTGATTTTAAAGTCTCAATGTTTTCATTTAAAGTTTTAAGGCAATCACCTCTCTTAGCAATCTCCATTTTTAACAGCTCAATTTCACTGTGAAACCTTTCCTCCGATTCTCTCTTCTCGTTCACAGCTTTTCTGATCTCCTCCTCCATGGAACGGCCATGTGATTCCCATTCTCTGAGCTGGTCCTCCAAACAAGTCCGCTTCTCCAACAATTTTGCTATTTCAGCTTTAATATGAGCCTTTTCTGGAAAAATCTTCTCCTCAGCATCAGATACAGCTATCTTTAAATCCCTGATCTCATGATCTCTGTCTGATAAACTAGTCTTTAACCTAGCCATTCTTTCCTGCAGCTTGAAGACCTCTCTTTTCTCTGTATTCAGTTTGAATTTCCATGTTGTTATCTCTCTTTGTGCCGTATCAAGTTGAGCCCGCAAATTTTGAATTTTTTCATCGGATTGTTTCTTCTCAAGCTTCAAACTAGCAATTTCTTTCTCAAAATTCCAGACCATTTCTTTTGTGATTCTCACCTCTTCCACCAGTACTTGCAGTTTGCCATCTGGGTGTTGAGTTTCTTTCTTTAATACACCAATCATTTCTTGAGGCTCTGATGCCTGATTTACCTGTATCTCCAGCTCAACCCTGTGCATCTTGACACTTTCCTCTTCTGAGGATTCATCCTCAGCTGTTTCCTGCGGCTTATATTTTTGGAGCTCAATCCTTAACAAAGTAATTTTTTCTTCAGAAAGCTGTATTTTTTTGTTAGCAATATTTAGTTCTTCCTCGTACTCTCCAATTCTAGCAAGAAGATCAAAGTTATCATTTTTTGATCCTGCTAGTGAGCCATCTGTATTCTTTTCCTCCAACACCTGTAGCTTCTCTTTCACTTCATGGAGCTCAATCTCCAATTCAATCATTTTCTTCACCCCTTGGTCAGCCCCATTCCCCGACAAAACTGAGTAATTATTGACTGAGGAATCATCAAATTCTGGTTCAGAATCTAAAAGAGAAGATGACTCATCTCCTTCTTTCTGGTATACATCAGAGCTGCTCCCACCAGAACCAAGGAAGACATCGAAACCAGCAGCTCGCGGGCGAAATTTGCGACGACTCAGCTTTTGATCCAGGGAAGGCCAAAGAGAGGGCAATTCAGAACCAATGTCAGAGATGCTAGAGCCCTGAGGTTGGAGGTTTGATGGAATATTCTTCTTCAATTCTCCCATCAGTTGATCATAACGCTCCGCCAATGAACGATACATGCGGTAGAACTCTTCGACATGAGATATAAGTTCTGGCCTCTTCTGATAATACATCTCAGCCTTTTTGGCAAATGAATCTCCATATTCTTCAATCAGCTTCAGCATTCGCTTGACGCTACAATCCATTTCTGTAGTCAGCAATCATTTTGTTATTTTCTTGCTAGACACTTTGACATTCAAATGATTTCAGACTCAAACTACCTTTTTTAAAATAGAAGATGCAGAAGCAAGACGCCTAGTCCCACCCCAAAAGGTAGGCAGATGGGGTTGGGAATATCTACACCACTAGAATGAGAGTATGAGAAAAGCAGTGGAAATGGTTAATATTGCATTACTTGTGCCCAATTTATCCTATATAAACTTTTGCTTCTTTTAGAACATAAATAAGGTCTTCACTTTAACCAAACAAAGATCAAGAACCTTCAACAAAGAATTGGTTCAACAAAAGATATTTCATAAGAATATAACTCTTTACGTGCATATAAGAAAGGAAAGGAAACACACAAAATGGAAACAACAATTGGCAAACATAGGAGAGAAATAAGATCTATCGCATTTTATAATAAAATCTCATTTCAGTTGCAACAAACTAAACAACAAAAAAAGTGTTGATATATTATTTGCTACACTTTATGTTCTTTGACCAAACTCCTTTCCAAGTTAGAGAGAAAGAAAGAGAGACTGTATAAGCTGCCCTGATTTCTGGAAGGGAGGTATAACAGCACCTTACTTACCTTCGAGATTTTCTGCCAGCCACCTCGAATTCTTGGGGCTAATGTGGCTATCCCACCACCATGAATGTGACTTTCTGGATTCTGTTTTCTTCATACTTTTAGTTGTATGACCCTCAAGAAGGAAAAAAAATACACAGAATTATGCAATTAAGATTTGAAAATCTTCAACGCAGATTGATAATGCTAGAACATAAGATGGTAGAATAAAGTCGTTAGTTTTTCTTGGAAGTGGTTTAGTTCATTGTGCTCAATTTCAACAGTTATTTGGTGAGGCAAGCAAAATCCTCTAGAGAATCTCTTAATTCATTCTGCATATGAAAAGGGCTCCTTCCATTAAAATTACAACTTGTCAGAACAAGGACACCAGTGGGCACAAAATTAAACAGGAACATTAAACGGTTGCTCTGAAATTTTATGGTGTTCAGAATGCAAGAACAACTTGTAGCATTAATTGATAAGACTATGCTTATGTTGATATTTTGATCAGAATCATAACATGTATAAGTAAATTCAGATAGAGGGAGAGTAGAGGAAATTATACACAGTGTTATTAGACTCTTGAGTATGATAGAGGGCGAGTAGAAAAGTGAGGCTAAAAGCTTGCAAATGAAGCTTTGGGTAACCGTAAGTAGACTGTTGTGGATATAGTCAGTTGAAGAACATTTCACGATAAGATTAAGGAGCAGATTAATTACTTACCATAGGATTCGCCATTTTGTAAGCTGGTGGGAAGTGAGATGATGAGGTGAAGTAGAAAACCTGGGTTCACAGAAACAGTGCAAATCAGTGGCATTAAATACGTACAAAATTTGGGACTGGGACTGTGAGGGCTTCTAATTATTGTATCGCTATCATTATAGGAGATGGAAGGTGAGGGCACGCGCAGAAATAGCGTGCGTCCAGTCGTTCTCGACTCGAAAGACAAAACATCCAACATAGTAGTGGTAATTTGCGGGAATTTTATTACAACCGTCGGAACGAGACGTCCAGCTCCTTCCATGAATTTCGTCATTTGTAATTGACTCTCACAGCAAACAAAATTAAAAAGATAAACAAGAAACTTTACTCGCAAGCAAGACAAATTTTTGGAACGGAAATCGCTCAACCAGAACAGAAGAAAACCTAATCAGGTAGCAACACTTTCCCGAAAATCGTAAGTTATCCAAGTTAATTAATAGAGTAGATAGATATAGAAAAGGAAGAAATCTGAAGGCCTGAACGGGATCGTTTTCTACATCATAATATCTAAATTATTTGACAAAGACGCGGGCACGCAGACATGTAATAGCCACGAGGCCTATCTCAGTTCCAGAACCCAGAAAATTATTCCTGAATGCTAATTGAATTGTTGAGAAAATAGCAGCAAAATTAAAAGAAGAATTTTTGCA